AGTTATAAAAGATGTTCACTGTTGAACTGAAGCCTGGCATCACTATTACCTGTCCAGACCACCCTCAGGAACCCACCACCATCTACCCCTGCCAAGCTCTGTCCTGCATGCTGCACCTTATGGAATTCTTGCTACCACAGTTGTGAAATCTTTCTGGGAGACAAATTCCTCATGGCCTTTTCCTTCTCCCAGCATAAGATTCCAGGGGAGAAATTCCAGTTCCCTGGAGTGCCTAGTTTCCCAGTCTGATAGCCAAGTGGGAGGGTTGTAGTGTCTCTTCAGAGTGTCTTCATCCCTGCCAGGTGGGTTACACAATGGGTAATGTGGACTTGCCTCCCCACAACTGCAAAAGTGAAAATGACCTCATAGTTCCCACATTATAAACCCTTCACACGTGAGTCACCAACCGCAGTCTCAGAAGTTGATTTCTGGACTAAGTGTAAGACTTAAGCCTATCAGAACTGGAGTTCTATGCTAATTCCTGAGGGGAGGAGAAGACCATGCAAGGGAGTCAGGTCTCACTCAGAGCCCTGGCAAGAGCTGCTGTCTGTGATGAGATTTCCCTGGATATGCTGAGCTTGGGCAATGCAATAGCAACTCTCTCCTACCCTAATCTGATGATTGATGTGGCTGTGTCTCCACCCATAGTAGCCAAAACTATGCTGACAAATAGCGCTTCCCAGTTATAATACACTTTCAAAACAAGGCCTTCTTCATTGTAGCAACTCTCTGGCAGATGTTCACACAAAAGGAAAACCACAGCAATAGTCCAAAGGGAAAAAAAAAAAGCAGGACTTGTGAAATTTTAGTTCTTGTCTTTAGTTTTACATGAAATCAAGTTATTTTTAATATTTATTATTATGTCTACAGTGTTCTGCCTGCATGCCAGAAGAGGGCACCAGATCTCATTACAGATGGTTGTGAGCCACCATGTGGGTGCTGGGAATTGAACTCAGGACCTCTGGAAGAGCAGCCAGTGCTCTTAACCTCTGAGCCATTCCTCCAGTCCCTAGATTTATATTTTTTTAATTTATTAATGAGATTAAACATCTCTTCATAAGCATGTAAAGTGCATATTATATCTTTTGCCCAATATTCTAGATATATTTGTCTTTTGCTCGTAGCTTTTTGTATCTTAAATATTTTGCAATTTTATCTGTAAATATTTTCTCAGATTACTATTTACCATGTTTTAAAGGAGGCTTTTCTTAAACACAATTTAGAATTGTTACTACATAGGCAGTCAGTTGATGCATTTTTTTTTTTTTTCCCTTTATGTTTGAATGTTTGGAATTTGCTTGGGAGGGCATTCCTCTGGCAGCACATGTTATGTGCATGTTCTAAATATTGACCACCACTATTTTTCTGGTTTTTTTCAGGCTTTACAGTATATTGGGAGAAAGATGGTGGCTTTTGATTCATCTAGAGCAGCTCTGCATAAAGGGAGTGTCCTGTACCTCAGCTGCCCAGGGGCAGCCACTGATCGTTGTGGCAGTCAAGGGCTGGTAATATTTAAATTGATTGGATAGAGCACGTCTAGAATTTTATTTCAGTGTAAGATAAGTTTTTTTTTTTTTTTTCAAACCACCAGTCAGCATCCAAATACATTTATTGCAGAATCTATTCTGGCCCCGGGCTCTTGATTTTTCACACTGAGTTCTTTGTATCTGAATGAACCTCAGGACTTTTGCATGTATCTGAATGAACTTCAGGGCCTTTGCATGTATCTAAATAAACCTCAGGGCCTTTGCATGTATCTGAATTAACCTTGGGGCCTTCTATTCTATTGGTTTATGTATCTCTGGTCCCAGAAACCTCCATTTCTAAGTAAGCATAGGACAACTGTGCGAGATGTATGCAGCAGTCTACATTTCAGCACTGTTTAAAATTGGGAACCATATTAAATATTTAGTGAGATGGTATTGATGTAAGCCACTAAGTGAAATGGTACTAGCTATATATACATATTGAGCTGGAAGTAGTGTCATGCATGTGATTGGTTGGGGAGCAGACAACTAAATTGTTACTTATCCAACTTGGAAAATGTGCTCATATCACATATATTCATGAGTATTATCTTTCCATCTAAATTTGGTTTTCAAATTCCAAACCAAATTCAGGTGGTAATAGTGAGTTCAGGTATAGATACAAGTTATCTGAATCTATTTGGTTCTTGAGTTTTGCATAATGAGCTGTGCATGTTTGGTTTGTACAAGAGACAACAGTATTATTGCCCCAACTCTATCCAGATCTATTTTCTGTAATGATAAATGTGAAGGGTACATGTTTGTTTAGGAATATGTGCAGAAGGTAAATTTTAAATAATTCTTACCCCTACTGATGAGCATTCAGGATTTTAAATCTATTTTCTAATGTTTGTGCAGTGAATATGTGTGTAGACTTTGAACTCTGGTTAAAATAGGAACCCATAAGTGAAATGTACAGCAATGCCAGTCTCCCTTTACAAAATGTTTTTATTCCGTTGCTGACTTGGGACACGGTCCTGCTAAGCCATGTTCGGAGTGGGTGGGGAGAAGCAAGAACAATTGGGGTAACGCACAGACACACTCCACACAGGAGGGCAGTGCTGAGTCTAGATAAGATAGTTCATAACTTCCCTCGGTCCAGGCAAGCCGAGTCAAGGTGGCTTTTCTGGTAGGAAATGCTGATGTACAACTTAAAGACAGGACAACCCACAAGGAGAGCTGTGGTCACTCACCAGGTGTGGGGTCCACCTGGCAGTCTCTGCTGCTCGGTGATGTGTAGGCGGTAACAGGTGAACAACGTTAAGTGAAAACTACAGCCTCCAACCTCAGGACTTCACATTCTCCGATATGGATTTGGGTTTGACATTTGAAGAATTTTTAAATTGAGGAATCTGACAGGGAACATGAGCTTCTGCACCACA